TTTTTTTCTGTCAGAGAGACATTGGAATGGCCAGGGAACTCTCCGGATATCAACCCAATTGAGAATCTCTGGGCCATATGCAAGAATCGCCTATTAAATATGGACTGTACAACTATGGAGAAGCTAATCACAGCGTTAATTCATGTGTGGTGCAGGACACAAATATTATAAATGACTGTAAAAAATTAGTGGAATCCATGCCGAATCGTGTCCAAATGTTAATAAAGTGTCGTGGAGATCATATTATGTACTAAAAATTTCTGAATTTATTGAGTTTGTTTCAATTAATTTGCACAAGGGTGTATATGTAAAGTAACATATATTAAAATTACAAGTGTTCTTTAATCATTTTGACATTAAACACCCTTTTAGTTATCATAATTACTGTCAAAAATTCAAACTTTTGGTGTAAAAATTCATAATCTATTATACTTTTTAAATAATTATAAATAAAATTATGTATAATTAAAATTTATCCAAACCTTATTTTTTTTTAATTTTTGAAATTAAGATATAAAAACAATCATCCTATAAAAAACACTTAATAATCTTGATCATTATGTTTAAAATCAATTTTCATTTTACTATCATTCTAGCTTCTTTCTCTGGAGCATGCGATTACAAAATACCAGTTTTGAAGCCTGCTACAATCAAAGTTTATTTTTCAGTTTTAAATTAATAAGACCAAACTTCAAAAAAATATATTCTTTCAATTTGATGATGAGCGGCATGGACTAGAATGTAGATGTACAAAAACTACTATAACATACTGAAATAAATATGCATTAGGAAATTTATTCTAATGACTATGCTAAATCTGGATAAAAACTTAAACACTTGAATTGATTGAATAAAAAAATAATAACTGTTTTAAAAATGTATATTTTTGTAAATTATACTTACATACCTGCCAACTTTTATGAATTTCGCATAAAATTTTATTTCTATCTTTAAAGTGGTAGTAAAATGCATGCTTTCTATATATTCCTTGCATTTACAAACTTAATTTAAAATCTTTTTGACCACCACTATTTTTAAAAAAATGAAGCATATATATTAATATGTAATACTGCCGTGATTGTCCATATAAGCTTTTTTAAAATACAGCATATATTTCAGCCTAAAAAATGTAATTTAAATTCCATTTTACTACCACTGGGGATAATCATCCTCGAAAGGATTAAAAGTTGTCAGGTACGTACTTACTTTATTTATCAGGATACATATTATGAACATGATTTATGAGTAATATTCATGTACATATAAGCATGAACAACAAATATAGAGAATTAAAAATAATTTTACAAATTGAGATCTGACAATTATAGGAAACCACTTTAGTTTTACTCAAGCTAAAAAATCTGGCTAAATTATGACATAAAAGAATTAAAATCAATATTTAAATTGATAATATAATTAACAACTCAAAGTTATTGCATATAATCTAAACTGAATAGTTATAATACATAAAAATATAATTATCATTTAGTATAAATAGTACCATGTTTTCGGAAAAAGCAATTAATAGTTTCAATAATTTTGACTATTTTTCATACATGATATATAATATAAATCATAATTCTGAAGTAAATATAATGCAAGTAATGTTTATTATTTCAACAGTTATATAACACAAAACTGAACTATAATACAAACCTTTGACTTTCAATAAAATGTCAAATAATTGAAAAGAAGTTGCCCGAAATTTTTGTCAGATATAGACAGTTCATTACACTTTTTGATGTGTCATATCAAAACTAGTTTCTGACATCAAAAAACTAACTCTGTTAAAAAACCTATTGATTAAATTTTAAATTCACCAAAAGGAAAAATCAAATTAGACTTAAAATGTATTGCTTTGATAATTTTTTTTGCTAATTTTGATTTAACATAACATTAAATATCAATATCAGCTACCCCTAACAAGTTAGCAGCCATAATGTTGAAAAAAATGAAACTGAGACAAGACATAGAAACATGCTCAGTAGTGATTGTGAGCCAAGCTCAAAATTCCTGAAAATTTCTTGAGTAAAATCAATAATGACGCATTTCAAAAAATTAATGTCTTTATAAGTTTAAATCAATGGTCTTTTCGAAACATGAAATTCTAAATAAATTATATGCAGCATAATTTAAATGAATAATTTTGTATGAGTTTACTTTTATCTCTAATCATATTTATTATTCTACCAGAAAAAATATTTACAAATGAAAGAGATGCAAATGTATAAATTCCAGTTCTAATATTTTTAAATAAAATACAGAAAAATTTTTATAGATAAATGTAATCGATGATTTCTTGAAACTTCTGGACCTTGGATTCCCTAAAACTTCCGGATAACGGTTAGGATTGTTTCCGCACTTATACTTATTTCCGGATTTTTCCGGAGCACAATAATCTCTGCATGTTTCATGGCAAACGTGTTCAAAGACTTGTTTGACAAAATAAAATATTCCCAATAACATAGGTAGTTTGATAAACAAATGCTATACAAATAATAATCTGTTTTAGTGGGGGGGAAATTTAAAAAAGAGGTATTTTTAATGTAAAGACTATTATATACAACACTAGAAATTGAAATAAGAATAATTTTAATAAATAAAGAGTTTCATGAAAAACAATTAAAACTTTAAAATATCAAATAGGAAAGAAAAATTTTTGATTGTACAAGTAGTCAAAAGGTATAAATAAAATAAATTATTACTGATATTGATAGAGTTTCTTTAACTTCTTTACTGCTAACAAGCTGAACATTTCCATCTTCATAATAATGAACCTGTGTAATTTAAAAAACTTTAGGAAGTTTTCGATAAATAAATCTACTTAACTATCAAAATACAGAAATAAAATTTACAAAACAATCATGGGTGCAAAGTTGGAGGGCATAGAGACCATTCCTCCAATAATTTTCTAAAACTTCAGAATTTTATCAATGTCATTATCTTTTCTTTCCTACTTTTTAAAAGAAAAAAAAAACTTTAAACATTATTTTTTATTGCTTAGAAACTTAGTATTTTTATTAAATTATATATTTTTGCATACATTGTAAATTTACAAGATAATACTTTTTATTTATTAAAATTTATTTTTTATTTATTTAACTACAACAAAATAAATTTTTTACTTATTTTAAATTTTGATTGTTTATTTTTTATAATTTAACAAAATTATTTAAGTATTATCACTTTTATGTTGTACGAATCTCTTAAATCTACTAGATAAAAGTTAAAAACTATTAGAAAAAGTCTGGAATAAGTGACCAGACTGTTATAAAAATGTTTTTAATGTATATTTTTTATTATATATTTTTTTTTAAAAATATTTTTTAGTTTTAACAGTTCTTTGGTTAATTTAAAACAAATGCTAAAATAATATTTTATGTCATAAATTAAAATTAATTAAAGCACTAAAAAGTATTTCATCATAACTTTTTCAATTATTAATATTTTTATTTAACAATTAAAAAGTATCAACTTTCTATTAATAAACATGCTAATATAACATATTAGCATATTTACTGAAGAGAAAAGAACAACTAAAGATTTTGATTATGCTTATACATAACTTTACAATTCCACTTTACATGCAAATAAAAATTTACCATATATCTGAAGATATGTTGAGAATTTTTTGAACATTTTCGAAAGCTTAAGAGGGATGGATTTTAAGTCTGCTTATAATCAGATCCACTAACATTGAAAATATCCTGAAGGGCATTGCTAACAGAAATATTATTTCTTTTGTCGCGCGTCAGCCATAATCAGCAAATATCAGGCCGAGGTGGCTCAGAGGATAGAGGATTCACGTTCCAATGACGTGAACCGGGTGCGAGTGGCTGGTCGATAAGAATTCTGCACCCGCGTTGCGCTGACCACAGTGTTGCTGTGACAGGCTAACCATGGGAGGTTTTTCTCTCCATGTAACACAAATGCAGGTTATTTCAATCATAGATTCCTCCTTGAAGGCATTTTTCTCGCAAAACTTGATTCAGGAGTTCCCTTGCCTTTTGGACTGGGTTCAGAATTACAAGACTACGAAGTTGAACAATAGTAGTCATAAACCCGAAATTGGGTTGGCTGTTCAACGACGGTTATAAAATAAAACAAAATCAGTAAATATCGTGAAATGTATATACAAAACACGAAAATACATAAAATAGTAGAAAATGGAATGTCTAAATATAAGAATTGAAATTATTGCATTTATCCTACTGTATCAGTTTTATGAGCTGAGAATGAGTCTTTTACCAATATAGCAGTTTTTTAAACATGGCTCCTCCTTTTCTTTGATACTTTGAGATGTTTTACTTTGGCTTTCTGCCAAATTAAACTGCTGCTGCTGTCATCAATCCCTACTAATAAGTGAAAAGGCTGAAGGAGAAGACAGGGGGAAACAAATCAGATTGGGCTGATGATACGGTGTCAATCCACATTTCCCTTGGTCCTCAGTACAGTAATTTCCTGTAAATATGCCGCACCGCCGTACTGGCCGCACCCGCAAAAAAACATCGCTAAAAATTTCTATTTTCATCTATAGGCCGCACCATCGTAAAGGCCGCACTTTCGTTTTTTCAATCAATAATCGATTTTTATCAAATAACATGTGCGTGAAAATACACAGAAAAAATAATAATCTTTAAAACATAAACTCTATACTTAGAAAACAGTTATTGATATATCTTTTTTTTTTATGTATACTCATTATATTATCATCATTTTTAAGTATACTTATCATAAAAAGAAAGAACAGAAGAAACTTACTTACAGAAGAAACAAGTATAACCAATTAAAATCATAAGTTGAGGATGTATATACGACAAGAAATAAACTAATCACAATATAAATCAGCATTTATTTATTTATACTTTTCAAATATTTTTGAGCATATATTTATTCAAAACCATTGAAATCTGATTCTTCACTGTCAGAACAAAACAAACGTTGTAATTCATGATCCAGTTCATTTTCTACATCATCTTCTTCACTCGACATTAAGGAAGGAACATTTTTTACACAAAAATCCAGTCCTGCATCCTTAAAACTGGACGTTATAGTGGTTTCCTTAACTCTCTCCCAGGCGTTAGACACCCACCAGGCAACTTCTTCATAAGATGCACGGCGCATCTTTCCACTTTTAGTGTAAGTATGCAATCCATTGCTCATCCATTTTTCCCACTTACTACGTATTTCTACCTTAAATGAATGATTAACCCCTAAATCAAGGGGTTGTAATTTTTTTGTTAAGCCAGCGGGAATTATGGCGAGCGATGCGTTTACTTTTTTACATTTGCTTTTCACAGATTCGAGAAGGTGGGAAGTCATTGAATCCATTGGAAGCAAACCTTTGCATTGAAAAAAAGCCCCAGGTCATCTTCTCCACACCAGATCCAGCCAATCTACCATAATTTCTTCACACATCCAACCTTTTTCATTTGTTTTCACAATTATGTTGGGGGGAAAATTACCTTTTGGTATTGTTTTGCGCTTAAAAATAATCATTGGACTTAGTTTTTTCCCATCAGCTGTGCAAGCTAATACGCAAGTAAACGATGTTTTTTCATTCCCAGTAGTAACTATTGGAGCACTCTTTGTCCCTGTCTTATCAACAGTTCTACTAGCAGGGCAATCAAATGTCAATGGTGTTTCATCCAAGTTTATAATTTGAGAGGGAGAAAATTTTTCCACATCAATGAGGTGCTTCACAAATTTCAAGAAGTCATTTTTTTCTCCTCCCAATTTTCTGGAAGTTTTTGTCCAGCAGTGGTCCTTGTTCTGACTGATATCTTTTTTCTCTTCATGTAAAGATAGCACCAGCTTGGGCCACCTTTAAAACCCTGAACATCCAGCTGGTTCGCAATTAATTTTGCTAGCAAACGAATTTTGATTTTAGACACAGGAAATTCCTTCTCTCACTGATCCATTTCGCTAAATCATTTTCCAATTGAGGAAATTTTACCCTTTCGAATCACGGTTAGGATTGTTTCCGCACTTATACTTATTTCCGGATTTTTCCGGAGCGCAATAATCTCTGCATGTTTCATGGCAAACGTGTTCAAAGACTTGTTTGACAAAATAAAATATTCCCAATAACACAGGTAGTTTGATAAACAAATGCTATATAAAAAAATAATCTGTTTTAGTGGGGGGGAAATTTTAAAAAAAGGTATTTTTAATGTAAAGACAATTATATACAACACTAGAAATTGAAATAAGAATAATTTTANCGATAGCTTGGGCCACCTTTAAAACCCTGAAAGTCCAGCTGGTTCGCAATTAATTTTGCTTGCAAACGAATTTTGATTGTAGACACAGGAAATCCCTTCTCTCGCTGCTCTTCAATCCATTTCGCTAAATCATTTTCCAATTGAGGAAATTTTACCACTCCAGATCTTCTTGCACAATTTTGCTGGGGTAACTTCGCAATTATATCTTTATTCGCTAGCCATCTGCGAACACATTTTTCATCCACTTCAAAATCTCGCACAGCAGCTCTGTTACCGATTTGTTCCGCTCTAGCAACAACTTTTAATTTAAAAGCTGAAGTGCAGCTTTTACGGTGTTTTGAAGACATTTAGTACTAAAATGTAAGACAAGTACTATACTAAAACTATAATAAAATATGTAATTAACTTTTGAATAGAACAAACGATAGCTAACTTCAACAAGAAATGCAAATTCCTAAATGTCAATTTTACGCACACAATTTTCTCATGCTTTGAAAACAAGGGGAAGGGGAAGAAAAGAAGGTGTAGCTGTAAGATAGAAAGCTACAACTTCCCAACCCTTCCTCTCAAAGAAAGAGAAGGAAATGTATGAATGGAATTCTGTAGAACTAGAAGGGGAGACGAACTAAAGAATGTGATGAAAGCAGTGCAATATGTTGAAATGCATGCAGGCCCCCTTCCCACGGACTCCCTTTCCACTCCACTAGGAAGAATAACTATTTCATTCACTAACGGTCAAATGTAAGAGTGTATTTGAAATGTAGACCCTTCAGTGACCTTCAGAAAAAGAAAATGAATGGTTAAAAAGAAAATATTTGCTAAAGAGAAAGTTAATGATCACGGCAGTCGTAGGAGGGGCGGAACTTGCAGAAGGATTCTAGGATGTCCAAAATATTTATGACATTGACAGTTCAAGATGTGCGTAAAAATAAGAATTAATCACTTCCTTCTCCTCATCTAATGGTGAACTCGGAAGGAGGATATAATATGTTTCTTTCTTGCTGAAATCAGATTGATGCATAGAACAAAAAGAGTTTATATTCTTAAGTAACAAATCGGAATTTGTAACGCCATTTGTAGATGGCATCCTGCTGTTTTTTGTCAATCGAAAACTTCCTTAACACTAGATTTACGGGATGTGTCATTTTGACGCATTTCAAATTTTATAAGGAAAATTACAAAACCCTTTTGCATTTTTATTTTATTTCTTGTAATGACTTTTACCTGTTGATCGAGGTAAATGTATTTTGAAGACTATTTTCTTCAAAACCGTTTAATAAATGCATCGTATCCGTAAAAAAAAAAAATTTTAAAAACCTGGTAGTTATAGATTTTTATTGTATAAAATTGACGTGTGTTCATAGAGACAGATATATAAGAAACATCCATAAACCTAGTGTTAAACTATAATTTCATTTAAAAAAATAAGAAAAAAAGACGTTTTCAGAGTAAACATTACGAGTTAGGTTCGTTATTTCGGAAAATTTTCGGTAAACATCTGTTTTTGAATAAAACCACCGTGATTAAAAAATTCTCACATGTGGCTTGGGATA